CCCTGTTCAAGAGATTTCATGGGTATTCACAGGCTTTGCTTCCACTGTCCGAAAGTTAAGTCTGAGCAAGAAAGGCATTTTTCCTGTCCCGGAAATCAGTATAACCAAAACCAATGCTGAGCTAATGAGAAATGTTTCTTCCATGTGTTCTGTTTGGCAGACACTGCAAGTCATATCAAGGAAACACATGATGTTTATAAATACAATATGGCTCATGTTGTCATAACCTCTCAATGACAACAAGAGCACTAGAAAAAGCAGGCAGTACAACAGCAGGAAAAAGGATATTTGTATCATTTAGAAGTTCTGTATCAGATATACATATCTTGGCTTTTTTCCTAAAGAAAATGTTTTATGGTAGAGGGATCAGTAAGGCAGTGTATGGCAACTTATAAACGTACTACGGGTATTCCTAGCATTATCATGCATTCAAACAACTAAGTGTTTAAATATTTGTTCTCAGTTTTAAGAGTTACACTCTAAGCGGATGCCTATATTGCAATCACAGGGTGTGATTACAGTTCAAGTAAACATACCCAGGCTAGCTTTCATTTAGCTAGCTCAGGTCCTGGAGCATGGAAGCTGCAGCAATGTGCACTTCAGCGTGGCTGCACAAGCCTGCCCAGGAATCATTCGCAAGTCTAGTGCGCACTGGAGCACAAGCTGCCGCAGCTTCACTGTTCTGGTACCTGAGCTGCCTCAGCCTGCTCCGAGTAGAAGGGGGCTTCATGCACAGAGCTGCCCCTTTTTAACCCTCCCGCCCGTCCGGTTCCCAGGGGATGCGTCAGTGTCGCCATGCTGGCCCCTTGTCCCCTTTTGCAGTAGTTTGACCTCTCCCCTTCAGCTCCCCCCAGCCATAAAGCACTGTTCCCTTCATTCAGCCAGCCAGACAAATCCCCCTCCCCCCACTAATGGTACGGTGCAATCATTCTGGTACCTGAGCTAGCTCAGTATATCTATACACCTTGTGATTGCAGTATAGACATATCCTAAGACTGTTACAAAAAATCAGCAAGTGGTCGATAATTTTGGCAACACTTGTATTTTTACTTTTTGCCTTTAATGACATGAAGATTTTTAACTTAAACACAATCCAATGAAACACTGGTAGGAATCTCCCATAATCTGGATGCCTTTGTTTAAAGTATCTGAAGAACTCAAAAGCATGATCTTGCATTTATTACCTCTATGTCTTTCTTAAAAAGATTGTAGAGGATTTTTTTAAACTAAGGACTAGGGGAAAGCTGACAGGTGCAGATGAGCACACGGTGCAGGCAGACACATCTCTTAGGAATTAATTTATTAAAGAGGGAACTCTATATTTTCACAAAGAGGATAGGAAAGAAGTTGGTAAAGTAGAGCTAGGAGCTAGAGAGGGACAGTCATATTTAAATGAAATACTTTTACATGAAGGAAAATAACTGAATATTGACAAAAGGTATAAGTCTAAATACTAATGGGTGAACTACAGTGCCTGTCATTAAATGAGGATTTTGATATAACAGACATCACAGAAACTTGGGGGAATGAGGATAACCAATGGGATGGGTAATACCAGGGTACAATACATATATGTATATATATAACATAGTAGGTTGCACTGATGGGGGAGTGCCACTATATGTCAAAGAAAGCATAGAGTCAAATGAAATAAAAATCTCAAATCAAAATGTGCCATAGAATCTCTATGGATAGAAATTCCATGCTTGAACAATAACAGTACAACAGTAGGAATGTACTAAGGATCACCTACCAAGATGGTGACAGTGATTGTGAAATACTCAGGGAGATTAGAGAGGCTGCAAAGAGAGAAAATGCAATAATGATGGGGGATTTCAACTATCCCCATGTTGACTGCGTACATGTCACCTCAGGACAGGATGAAGAGATAAAATTTCTTGACACCATAAATAACTGCTTCTTGGAGCAGCTCGTCCTGGAACCCACAAGGGGAGAGGCAATTATTGAGTCAGTCCTAAGTGGAGCACAGGATTTGGTCCAGGATATCAATATAGCTGAACCCCTTGGTATAGCAACCATCATATCATTTAATTTAACACCCTTGTATAGGGACAAATGCCAAAGAAGCCCAGCACAGTAGCATTTAACTTCAAAAAGGGGAGCTGCACAAAAATGAGGAAGCTAGTTAAACAAAAATTAAAAGGAACAGTCACAAGGGTGAAATGCCTGCAAACTGCATGAAGAATATTTAAATCTACTGATAGGCAAAGTAAGAAAAATGTAGCTTGAGAACCTATTAGACTTTGATTTAAGGATACTAACTTTGTATATTTGGACATGTGATGTTGGCTATTTGAGTTTTAATGGCTATAAAGCTTTAACTTTTTGAGTCTCAATGTCGACTGTCATTAAGTAATTATTGTCTGATCCCCTCCATAGTTTTCCATAACTGTGAAAATTTAAATAATAAAAATAGGAAAAAAGCTTTAAAATAAACATCAATATTATCTATCGACATTATAAAAAATAAACATCTGATTCTGCCAATCCTAAGTATAATACAAAAGATGTGTGACAAGACGGTGTTGATTCACATTTCAAAAGTAACAAAGAGTCCTGTGGCACGTTATAGACTAACAGGTGTATTGGAGCATAAGCTTTCATGGGTGAATACCCACTTCGTCAGATGCATGACTCATCTGTTAGTCTATAAGGTGCCACAGGACTCTTTGTTGCTTTTTACAGATCCAGACTAATACGGCTACCCCTCTGATACATTTCAAAAGTAATCTCCTTAAAACAGGACAGGCAATAAACGCTTTATCCCTAGATTTACTGAAACAGATGCTAATGCTAAGCACTGTGTTTACAGTAATTACTCCTTCCTCTCCTCTCATTTTAGTATAGTTAGTTTCAATTTATCGAAGCACCATGGTGAAGGTAGGAAGACTGGAGTGATATCTTTAACACCACCCAACTTCTTCCATATCCTACATCTGTCTGCCTCAATGCAGCTGCAGAACGAATGCATTCTTACTCTTGGGTTCTCCTCTCCACCATATATATTCATGTGATCACATATATAAGCAATAAAACATAAAATCAAGTGCTTCTTTTCTTGCTTCTCAATGCTGCCTCACCAATGTCCTGAACTCTGACTTGAAGGGACTACCTCTCAAATTGAAAAGGGCATCCAAGAGCTGACCAAACCCACTCTGCTGAACTTGTGAGATCTAACAAAAGCACATCCCCAGGTGAGCTGGCCATAAACCATGAAATAACTATTCTTGGGAGATGTGACGATTTTGAAATGCCACCTCTGGTAAGACACACACTCACAGAACCACCTCCGAGAGTAGAGTGGAACATGGTAAAATAACCATAGAATTGTAGCAACGTAGGGCTGAAAGAGACCTTAAGATGTCCTCTAGTCCAGCCTCCTGCATTGATACAGAGGGAGCCACTTTTATTTTTGAATTATCCCACTGTGGCCAGAGGGAGAGAGTTTAGCCATACTCAATATGTATCTGTGGGAATAATCTCAGTTGCACAGTTCTATATTTTAATGTGAACAATACAAATTTTAACCACTGTTTTTACAGAGAGCCAATGTTTGTATTTGAAACAACTTTATTAGATAGTAAATATCTGACACAGGGCCAAAGAAGTAATCCAGATTGCTGATATTTTGATTTTATGTACACATTAGCAAAACATGTCTGAATACCAGTCCAGCACACAACACTCAAAAAAGTTACATTTAGCCCCCCCTTTCAAGTGGGACAATAACAATTTAGACCTAATGATGTAATGTCAATGCATTATTATTACAATGGTTAACATTACTATAGGCACTGAAAATGTGCCCTGCCCTAGGATATTAATGATATATTTCAGATACATCCGGTTACTGCTCCATAGAAGTCAATAGTATTTCAGGATTCTCAGCACCTTGCAGGAGACACATAGCAATTTATCAGATCAGCCCCCACATGAGCTGCTACCACTCTATATACAGATTTTTAGCGTGCAGTGAGGTGAGTAATCAGATAATTGGATGTTCTGACCCATCAGAGAGATTGTTTTATGATGTTTTAAAATTCAAATATTTAAATAAAATAATTATAGGAGAGGTGGTTGAAAATACCAAAGGAAACTGAACGACTGCCACAATTGTACTGAAACAACAATGCTCTATACCATTACAACTGCAAAAGTGCTTAAATATAATCAAACCAAAAAAGCAAAGATCTGTGGCAGATGCAAAAGAAATTGTGAAATCAAGAACCAGATGCACAATTATAAACTAATATTTTTACAGGAGTTCCTCAGAACATTTGACATCTGCTTTGGAGCATGTGTAAGTTACTAAAAACCAAGCAGCACACTTGTTAGTAACTGTATCCTTGTTGAAGGCTTAATATGACTTTATTATTTCCTATATATTATATTTAAACAAAAAAGAAAACAAAGAGAATAAATTTCAGAAGCTTTCTTGGCAAATTCAAAGGCAAAGATTTCACCTTTACAAAGGTTACTACATTTATGGTATTTTTAATAGACACACAAAAATTGATGCGCTTTTCAAAACTGCAAAGCATTTATTAGTATGTTGAGTCTGAGATGGCCATTTATGAAGCACATCAGGAGACAGGGAGCTCAACTGGAAAGCTTTTGAAAATGGGGTTGTGAGTTGCACTACTAATAGAGTAAAGTTAAACCATGCTCTGCTCTGTTGAAAAGAAGAAAGAGTTTGGTGCCCACTAATGAATGAGACTTCAATTTGTGTTCTGAAACAAATTACTAAAACATTGTGCTGTGATTTCAGTTCTTTACTGTGAATGAATGAGAGATCAGAGAGCTGTTAGAGTAAATAGTGACAAGGAATGAAGTAATAGATCAATAAAGGAATTAGCAGCATGGATCAGTGTCATCCGCTTGCAGCATGTATGTATTCACACTATATACGTTAATGTAAACATTTCACATAGAAAACAGGAGATAAAATAAAATGAATATAAATCAACTCTGGCACTTACCCTTATATCTCCATTTACAGTTCTGGATGTATGATTAAATGCATGAGCAGGATCTTTGTTGTAAACTTTAAGGAAAGATCTGTCCTGAATGTTCCTGGAATCAAAAACATCAACAAGGATAGTAGATGAAAGGAGTTTTATTTTAGACATTTCCTTTGCTTGCCCTAAGGATTCAGGCAACAGACAACCACCATCACAATCTTGCTGCAACTGACCAATAAAAAACCCTACTGCTATAAAATAGACAAACAAATAACAAAACCTACTTCAGTTCGCTTTCCCCTGGGAAGTATCGTTCTTTCAGTACAGGTCCACACCCATAAAAATCAGGTGGTACTGAGTTTCTTTCAAGATCCCCGGCACAGAGTGAAAACACTTTGTAAGATAATAAAGCTCCAATATTTACAATGCACCCAAAAGGGTTTAAGTTAATATTTAAATGCTTTATTGTGTACTCTACACAAACACATGAATTTCTGCTATTCTAATGAGCACAAATCAAAAGAAAAATACTCTTTTGAAATTATTCTTGAGGCAAGTGTAACTTACGGTAGTTTGTTCACAAAACTGAAAACATTCCATAGCGATTAAGAACTCATCAGCGAATGTAAAAACAAACTTTCAAGCCTCCAATATTTCATACAGCTTTTTTTTAAATCAAAAAGCACAGCTTTGATAAAAGAAACTACAGAATTTTGATGCAAATTGTTAGAAGAAAACACCAAAAGATTTTTAAGATTAGCACAAAGAGCCTTGTCATTCATGAGTCTTTTTATAAACTGACTCATTCAGACAACAATCAGACGACAGATGTTTTACATTAGTCTCAAAACCTACCTTACAATAATTTCATAGATTAGAAATCTGCACTGAGTCCTGCTGATTTCTTGTTCTGTACTAATCAGCAACAATCTAATTAACGGCAACAATCTAAACACACTAATGTCCTTTCAAAACTGTGATTCCTTTCAGTTCACACTAGTGATTTCAAGAGAATTTGCATAAAAGACTGAATTTCTTTCCTCCACAAGTTTAGTGGACTGATCTTACTCATTAGGATTATCATTTTAAAAAAATGAAGTGATGTATTCTTGGGCTGGTCTAATTTCTTTCTTTTAAAGTCATATTACAGTCAGCGATTGCTTTGAATCTGTAACTAGTCAGAACTTGCACTGCTGCTGTAGACTTCAAGTAGTCTATTAAAAAAACACATAGCTTAACAGACAGATCAGTCCCATCTGTTTAAGAAATGTATGGTTAATGAGAAGTTTAGAGTTGATGAGAGTTAACTACATGTAGAATGCACAAGAAATACCTATCCTGTAGCAAATTTAGGTTCTTCGTTTATTTATGGCAGCATAAACTCTTTTCTGTCTTACAAATATGGAATTTAAGATAATATCAATATCTAAAAGAGGTGATGGGTCTACGTTTAGTTAGTGAATAACTCGGGAACAATGTTTACTGTCTGTAAAATTAAATAATATTCAGTGCCAACAGTACAGATGTTACATATAAGGTAAGGACAAAATTCTGCTCAGAGATCTGCATGAAGAATCTAAACTACAGAATTCTGCTCTCCATATTGACACAGAATGATTCTTTGTTAATGTATTTTTCAATGCAAGGAAAGTTCTCTCATTTTTCAGTTCACTCGTAGCTCACAAATGATGATGCGATAAACAGAGGCAAGGTGGGTGAGGTAATAACTTTAATTGGACCAAACTTAATCTACTCTTTTTTCTATCTCTAAAATGATGGTTGAGAGAGTTTACTCAACTAATGTCAAGTTTGGTTTAAAAATAATCTCCATAGCTATCTTATAGAAATATGACAGCTTGAAGTAAAGCAACATTGTAAAATACAGGGCATTTGATCTCTGAAGTGAATTGTATTTCGCACCATATCACCTCAAACTTTTCTGATAACAGGTATACATTTGTGTATTTTTTTATTTGCACATCTGTTTTACATTCACTATTTGACAGTGTTAGAACTGAACACTTTTCCTTCAGTCCCTCTTTCTCTTCTGCTTCGCTCTTGTGATTTTGCGTCTGTTCTGATATTTATCATATACTACCTTACGAACAGTCTGGTATAAATATATGCCATATATCCCTGAACTATTATTCACACCATAACAAATCTGTGGCCAGCCACATGGTTGTAACTGCTGTGCACGTAGGGCACTGGGAACTTCTTGGTGGTTATGGGTTAACATTCCAATCCTTCTGCTCCAAAAGCACAAATACCAATTGGTGTCAGAAGTTCAGGGCTTAAGAAACATGGTTGAGCAGCTCTGATACCATCCAGCAGAGGACATGCACATACACACACACAAACCAGATCTTTACAATATTCTAGTATGCAGTATTGGCTGAGTTCAGAAGTATTTTTAATTATTATTATTAATTATTTGTATTAATGTAGCACCTAGGACCAGTGGCAGGTATCCAGTTGCCCAGTCCTGATGGAAGCTAGCGCAGCAGTGGGTACACTCCAGCCTCTGCCACTGGTGTAACGGATTGTATGCTGGTGGTAGATGATAAATAGTGGAGCTCTGCTCCATGACACTCCCTCCCTCCATGACACTCCCTCCAGCCCAAAAACACCTATGACACTTTCCCCCACCCCACTTTACATCAGACTTTCTGTCAGTAGAGACAGGGATCTGTTTTAAGGCCATTTTGTGAATTATTTTATGTTTAATATTTCAAATATACCTGTTTTGGTAAAAACACAATAAAATATTAATTGTAAAAGCTAACCAAACTTATCTGTATTGCATGAATATTTAAATAAAGTATATCATACATATACGGCTTGTGCAACAGATGTGGTACATATAGCTTAAGGCATGTGTCAAACTGTGAAAACGCCAAATTACTCAGACACCACTGAATTTGCCTCAATGTGTCAGACCTGATATTTGTTAGATATTTATCAGCTTAACTCTTTTTCACGCTATTGATGCACTGTTTACCTACCTTACATCATTTAGTTCATAGTATATGTTTCTGCTCTCGTCCTTGATGTAAATGGCAACGCTGGGAGACTCCAGCATTTTCATTGTCAGCTGCTGGGGGAAGGCACTTACGAAGAGGGCACGAATCGTGTCTGTGCTTGTAATTTCATTCGGCATCCTTAACTGTTTTGTTTCATCACCATATTGAAGATATAAAACTCCTAAAAGCAAAATACAATTGAAGATTTTTTTTAAAAAATGCCTGGAATAAAGCTAGACTCCAAAGTCCACATGGAACACACATCAAATATTTAATTCTATACTAGAATAAGCAAAGCTAGATGCTTCACACACACCATACTTTTTCACTACAATACTGGAATGAAGAATAAAAACGGTCTCATGGATATTGATTATTTGTTTCTATACCACAGAGTTTTCCCAGAGCAACATGTTATTGCAGGGAATCTATTTTTACTGTTCTTTAGTTAGATCAAAAGTTTACATTAAAAGAGCTAATTTAAAAATAATACTAAAATGAACCCATACTACAAGGAAGGTGCAAGTAAATCATGGGAAATTTTTTGTCAGCCGAGGGAAAAATTAATCCTTGTATCACTTAGGTTCTTTTAAGCATAAACTCTTTGCTTTAACTTCACACTTACTCAACATGGGTTTGATTTTCAAACCAGCTCCCCATTTCTGCAAGCATAATTTTGTGCCCACAATTGATTTATCAGCAATTTATTTATTTATAAAATTGTAGGTGAAATTCATAGTAGGAACAAAGCTGAAGTCACTAAAAAGCAGATCTAGCCTGAATATCAGACACTTTAATTTCTAGTATTTCTGTGTAAAATGGTTTGCAACCTTAATAGTAATCTCCAATACATCACGGTATAGTATAATAGAGGGGGGCGGAAAAAAAGAATCTGAGTCACATATAGATAGATTTATAGATTTTAAAGCCAAAAAGGATCATTCCGATAATCTAGTTTGGCTTTCTAGATTGGCACAGACCAACAAACCTCCCCCAGCAATTTCTGCATTAACCCTATAACTTTTGGTTGAGCTTCAGTACATCTTTTAGAAAGGTATCTAGTCTTGATTTAAACACTTCAAGTGATGGAGAACTATCATACGTAGGTAAATTGTTCCAACAGTTATTTACCATCATTGTTAACATTTTGCACTTTATTTCTAGTCTCAGTTTGTCTCGCTTCAGCTTCCAACCAGTGGATTTTGTTATGTCTTTTTCTGCTAGATTAAAGAGCCATCTACTATCAGAAATCTCTTTCCTTATGTACGTACTTGGGGACCATGATCAAGTCACCTCTTAAACTTATCCTGGATAAACTAAATAGATTGAGCTTCTTAAGTATCAGAGGGGTAGCCGTGTTAGTCTGAATCTGTAAAAAGCAACTGAGGGTCCTGTGGCACCTTTAAGACTAACAGAAGTATTGGGAGCATAAGCTTTCGTGGGTAAGAACCTCACTTCTTCAGATGCAAGTCTGTTAGTCTTAAAGGTGCCACAGGACCCTCTGAGCTTCTTAAGTCTCTCAGTACTAGGCATGGTTTCCAGACCTATTTTTCTTCTAGTCAAAAGTAATTGTCAATATTTTGCACTTATATGCTGCAGTGCCTTTCATCAAAGGATCTCAAAACAAACAGACTTTAATTAATTACCGGTATGTCCAACAATATTCCCCTGAGGTAGGCAAGTATTATATTATATTCATTTTACAGATGGGCAAATGGAAACACAGAGAGCGTCCTCTCCTTATGGATTCTCTCATTTTCTCCCATTGACCTTGCTCACTAGGGGTGAGATTCTCACTCCAACACCATCCCCTTTCTGATAGAGTGACATAAAAGGGCATAAAAATCCTTGAATCTGGCCAGGGGAGAATTCCCCCAGTGTAGGAACTGAGGAAGACAGCCACAGACTATCCTGCAAGACCTGGCATCTGAGCCATGGGAAGGACATGTTGGCGGTGGTGCCACAGCCTGCCTATAGGCATCTGAGGACAGGCTGACATGATGTTAGAGAGCCCTGAGGGGCTACCTAAGTTACACCAGTGGCCTCTTCAGCCCCCAGAGAAGCTCTGAATCAGGAGGGCACAAAGGTACTTGAAGAGAAGAGAATGACAGATCTGCTCAAGTGTGACTATGTTGCTCTTTCTTGGTTAGTCCTCAGAGGATATAAACCACAATATTAGCAACTCATTTTCTTCTTTAAGTCAGCTGTTTTTTTGGTAAGGGAACAGAAATGCCTAAACATTATCCTTACTGATGATCATGCAGTCTCTGGGGCTACAGCACAAATTACAAAACCCATTTAGATAGTGATATATTGGTTTAAAGTCAAAATTGGTTATACCACCAATGATGGCGTGGTGGAAGGGTTTTATTTTGTATATTCATGAGCTATCACCAGTGACTAAAAGTTTGTGCTAAAGTCCTGGGACATGAAGCCATTTACTGAAAAATATAGAAGACATATTAATCTAAGATGAGTTTTCTTTATCCTCAGCTCTTAGTATTTTTCTCACTATGTTGCCCATAATTGCTGTAAATGAATGAATGCACATTTTGGCAGGTGTTCCTACAATCAGTGAGCAGATAATTGTACCTAGAGCAAGAGAAGGCAGAACATGTTAATTTTTATGCATATTAATCAGACTCCTCAACACCAGCTAACCTTTATTTAATATTAGGCTGCTTTTAAAATGACACTGTCAATACCTTTTCTGTAGTATTATGAATGGATGATATTGTTATAAGCTGGGTTAAACCTTGTTATGGGTTGAATTACAGGCTCATTGAAAATGAGGTGTGAACACGTCCTTCAATTAAGATAGGTGTAAGACACAATTAAGGGGCCATACCTAAAACATTGACATAATCTAGTCTGCCCAGTAACTAGCAACACATGGGTGGATGGTTCCATTGGGCATTGTTCTGATCAGATGTGCTTGTGGCATAGGTGCTGGAAGTAGGGGAGTGGGGGTGGGGTGGGGTGGAAGAAGGTGCTGCAGCATCCCCTGGCTTGAAGTGGTTTCCATCATATACAAGGTTTACAGTTTGATTCAATGGCTCTCAGCATCCCCAGTATACAAATTGTTCCAGCGCCACTGGCGTGTGGGGAAAAAGTCTAGCTGGAGGGGACAGACAAGAAACAGAGAAGCTCAAAAGCAACAAGAAAGCCAAGCAGTAGCCTGTAACCACAGCATGCCCCTGAAAAAAGCCTAGAAAAAGGTTCTGGGTCAGGGTTGCTGGCTAAGGGAAGATTGTGCCTGTAAACTAAGAAACGACTCCTTTTGTTTCTGGTTCCACCTGTGTTTGGAGAAGCAGGACATTGTACATTCCTTGTAAATGAATAAGATTGCATCCAAGAAAATACCAGACTCCATCATCAGTTTCTACTTCCAGCTGAAACATCCCCGGGGTTCTGAAATTGACTAGCTGCTCAGGTCAAAAAGGGGTAACAATATCGTCCTGTGTCATTAAGGTTGCCTATATCTCAAAAACTGTTAAGTGAATTTTCTTTACTCTGAATTGAAATTATGATTTTTTTTAAAAATCCTTGAGAACTCATGTAGTAGATATATTTGAAGAAAATAAGCTGTAATTAATCAACTTTTTAATAACTATATGTAACCCCCATATTCACTGTTCTTAAGCAAACAAAAAGTTTTTGCATGTGATTATTTTCAGAGTATACGAGAATTTTTCTTTGAAGGTCTTGTTCAAAATATTTTTCAGTTGACAAAAGAAGCTTAAAATGACACTTTAAAAGTGATATATTGATGCCATTTTTTAAAAAACTCAGTAAACAGACAAAAAATTCTGTTAACTTTAAACTAAGTTTGCTACTATGTATGAATATCAAGAAATGTTAGTTTAAAACAAAACAAAAAAACCCTTTAGGGGTTAAAGGGTTTGGAACATTCCCAAACAGCCTTAACTCTGCCCTTCCTCATGCACCCATAACCTATACATCAGAAACTCACAGTTGTTTTAATATAGATTTTCCAAATAAACTTGTATCTAATCTGGAATGATTGTGCCTTAAACTTATTAGCATGGGAAAGAACATTTTCAAAGGCATTATGGTAAATTCTCCTTCTCCTATTCTCCCTTATATTACATACTTTTTTAAAGCCCCTGCCTTTTCCAGTGAGTTGCTTGATCCATGTCATAATATAGCAGTACTTTAGGGTGTTTCCTGTTTGAGAAAAGTAGCTGTTCATTTCGAAAAATCCTGTTTCAGCATGATAGAAGAAAAAGGGACTTTCAGATCCATTATTTTAAATCATCCACCTTGTTCCACACACGTATCTCGTCAGGCTGAAACTGGGACAACTGGCAACATCCTAATGCCCAGCTTGAGGGAAGCAGCTCCACCCCTAGAGTCATTTCTTATTGTCAACTAATACATTACTCACATTAAAACTACAGCAAGAGGAAATAGTGTCTAACCCTGGTGCAGCTCTCATTAGAACAACAGCATAGCTGCCAGCAAAGCTGATGGAAAGGGAGCCAAAGGAAACGAATACTAACGTTTTCATGCATCCTAATGCTCCTCCTGCACTTACTCTTCTGTCCCAACAGATTCCCCAGGAAGATTAAGATTGTGCTGAGTTTTTACAAACACAAAACAAACAAGACAATAACGCAGCATGTAATAGGCTTAACTTCAGGAGGACAGGTAACAGAATAATGAAGGCTATAGTATATAGCGCATCTGAAAGTAGTAACTCGAGTCAAACAATGCTACTGCTGCTAATTCTAGGCATGTCTATAGCACCTTCAGTCTTAGACCTTGTCTACATTTATAGACAAACTATACTGGCAAACCCTCCTAGTGTAGACGTAGCTTATACTAGCAAAAAAGTCCTTTTGCCAGTACAGTTTATACTAGTTTCCTAAGTGAAATAAAGCTATACTGGCAAAAAGGCCTTTTTTGCCAGTTTAACTGTGATTACAGTAGGGCTTTTGCTGGCTCAACTATGTCAGCAAAAAAATCACGCCCCTAAACAACACAGAATATGCTAGCAAAACTTTTAATTGTAGACCAGGCCTTAGGTTTCTTAAAGCATTTTACAAACATTATTTCATTAAAGCTTCATTAACAACGTTCCTGGGAGGTAGGAAAGTGCAATTTACAGATGGGAAAACTGAAGAACAAAGAGATGAAGTGATTTGTCCAAGGACACAA